TTACCCCCCCAACCAAAAATTTGATTTTTTTTGTTTTTTTTTGCCTGATGGGGTGGGGCTGGGGTTGCGCCGCCACGTGGTGCTTCCCGATTGCTAAACCCCCTTCCCCAGCGGCCGCCACGCGTCCGCGTGGACTCGGCCGCGGCCGCGGACTTCACCGCGCGTGTCCGCCGCCGAGGGGGATTCATAGAAGGGTGAACAAACCCGGGAGAAAAGTAAGGATGGTGGTGGTGATGGGGCGCGCTGTCGTACCAAATAACCTTACAAGGGTATTAAGGGTATTTGGCGTGGTTTTTGCAGGTCACACAAGCCCGGTGTCGCCCGCCTGACGGCGTGCGTGTGAGCGGAGGCATAAGTTTTTGTCAGGGTCAGAGGCGCGCGTAGCGGCATGGGGTATTGACGGTGAGGCGCCACTGTGCGCTGCCTAGGCGTGCGCGGCGTCACGGGCCAGCGGGACGAGCTGTCGCACTTTTTCCAGTCATGCCTCTTCAGGCGACCGAAAAGCCAACAGGCTGTCACGCAGGATTTGGTTATTGATTGCAATAATAAAATAAAATTAATTAATGCAAATCCCTTCCTGTTGTGTGCGTCCAGCTTCGAGCGAGACCCTTCAATTGCGGTCTTCGCCGGTCCCCGGTCTTAGGAATCTCTAATTATGATTCAGAACAGCAAGAATCATGCAAGTAATAATCATAAAATTGTGGGGTGCTGTGCATACCTACATAGCACCGTGTTCGCGTTCGGAAGCGAACGCGAACATGTTTGCCCGAACGCGAACAAGCGCCCAAAATCCTCCAAACGCGAACATAAAAAATATTTAAAAAAACAAAAATAAAAACGTTCTGCAAAAAATCTGAAAATAATATATGTTATGTAAAACAACAATACAAGCAACGTTTTCCTTAGAATCATGTTCAAATTCATAGCCAATCATGAGTTAAAAATCAAAAACCGAAAAAAAAAATGTTTTTTTTTTTTTATGGAAACAAATTTGAGAACTGTGATAAAATTATATACAATAGCAATCATCAGGCAAGAACAATGCAAGAAGCAAGACCAACTGACTGGAGTAATAACAAGGCTAAACAAATGAATGAGGGAAGAATGAGAACTCATAATAGTCTCAGGGAGTACTCATGGGGAAGAGCAAGGCCAACACCAATCAAGAGTCCTCACTCAACCCTCTGAACCTCACTTCTCATCTGTCGCTTGGGCTTTTTGCCATACTTTCGTACTCTCTGAGGTTGTGGCCTTTGAATATAAAGCCACCTGAAGCCTGCAAGTTCCGAAAACTTCCACCCGAGCCCCATGACACGAAAGTCAATCATGGCACAAAACTTCTCCCAAAGAGTGGGGAGGTACGACTGAGAGAAGACACCTCTCCTGAGATGCTGGAACTCGGATGGCTCAGTCACTGCCTCATAGTCAATCACTGCTAGGGATATGTACCTCTTGGCCAGGTCGACCAGGTCTCCCTAGTAAGAGCCGTCGGTAAGAGTGAAAGGCACAGGGGCCTGGGATAGTCCGAAAAGAGCTTGGGTCCGAAGCTGCGGATCAGCTTGGTACCACTCTCATCGAGCTCTTTCTCCGTCTTCTCCAGGTACTCGGCCGCTGCAATCCAGACTGAGCCAAAGTGCTCATGAAACTCCTTGCCCTTTTTCAAATAAGGCCTCAGGTCGTGGATGGCACCGCCAACAAACTTAGTGTGGATCACATGAATAGATAGATCTCCCCTCTTGAAACTAACAGCACTGACATACTGATGCCGAAAGGAGTCCTTGGAAGCAACTCGGTTGAGGCTAGAGAAGACAGCCTCAGGGATAGGGGAAGATTGCACTGTACTCATGGGTGGACTAGCCGGTACAAACTGACTAGACGATCCCCGAGGACTAGTTGTTGAGAACTGGTTACTGAGAAACGATTGGATGATTGCAGGGTACCGATTGAATGATTGTTGATTGACGGATTGCTAATTTGCACGATGGCTGATTGAATGATTGCTGATTGAACGATGACTAATCTGAGCGTTGTTCTCGATTGCTGTTTTGATAGCTGATCTGAACGTTGTTCTCGATCGCTGTCTGGTTCAGACTAAAGACCGCCTACACTTCTAAAAATTGAGTGTCAGTTGAGTTTCATCCGAGTGCTAGTGAAGAACATGAGTGCAGTTGAGATTGTTGGTTGAAAACCGACTACTGTTGAGATTACTGATGGATGTTGTTTCTGATCACTGTATATCAGAAAAACTGTGCAGGAATACTGTTCTCAGTCTGGTCTCTAGTCGCTTGAATCTGATTTTAGTTGTCTGAGTTTGGCTGTCTGAGTCTTATTTGAAGATCGCCTGAAAGTTACCTGAATAAATGCTGGTACAGTCATAGAGTCGTGGGATCACATATCGTGTTGTTGCAAAAGAGGGCTGCAGTCTATTATTGTTTAATTACCGGTAGGACTTTCCGGAGGTGGACTGAGCACCACTAGCTCACACGAGCTTGGCTCTAGCCTGCTCAACAGTCTCAAGAATGGAACCGGTACTGTGCAGTTTACCATCTTGGCCATAACAGTAGAGCACATATTCGATATATTTCTTTCCTTCTGCCATCCTGACGGCGACTCCCCTCTGAGCCAGTCTGTGAAATTCCATGTCTCTACAGGCCTCTTCCTCCCATCCCTCTCTCTTGTCCCTGTTTAATCTACTTTTCATCACCAGGACCTCCTTTTCCCTCATTGTTCCCCGTCACGTTTTATGGTCAGGATCGCAGGTGGGACGGATTATGGACAGCCCTAGCAATTCCAACACTTCGGGGTAAGACGAACCCCGAGTCGGCCGCTGAGATTCTCTGTCACACTGAATCCTAGCATTTACCATCATGTCGAGTAATTGAGATGGCCCGTTCAACCATCATGCCTAGCCAAGAAGGTGTCTAAGTGGTATTTGCATGATAACCAAATTCAAACATCCGATCCTAGTTATAGGATCAAGTGATGGCTTGCTCAAAGAGCACTGACGGTCTAGTCAGGACTCGTAATAAATCACCTCAAAAAGGAAAACAAGACAATAGTTTTTTTTTTCTTTTGTCCGGGCCAACAACATACTTCATGAAGACATCTCTCGAGCTTTGCCAACAACACCAGTGAAACGTGAAGAATCTGATGTAAGCAGTGCCGTCTGACAAACTTCTTGAGGGTCCCCTAAGATCTCCAGGAAACAGGGCACCACAACAGTTCACGGTCACTGTCTGAGGTCTGCCTCGCCTGAGTCCTGCGGGGCACCAACTTCGTGGACCTCGCTGCACTCTTCATGCATACGAAAAAAAAGAGCTATCAACCAGAGGCTGAGGAGTGGAGATCGTCCCTTGCCTGAGCGTGAGATACCAAACGATGGGACGATGGCCTCAATCGTCCATAGCTCAGGCTCACGAGCCTATCACTACGTGCGGCCTGTTCGGTGTATCGTCTAGTGACCTCAAAATGACCTTTACACAGTTTAACCCTAGAGATGTTACGACAACAATTTCTTTCGTGCGGTGTCATGGGGGATGGACTGCAGTGACTTGATTATTGATGATGATTGACAGTAATTCATCCTGTGCCTACAGGGCGAATACACGGCATCATCTGTTACGTTTTCCCTCTTGAGCAGCCCGTGTTCATTGATGCCTCTTAATCTGCAATGAGGGGAAAGATAACTTTCTAATTATATTTTCACTCAGATCAGAAATCTCTCCATGGCTTAGAGACTGGTCATAGGAATTGGTGATATCATTCAGGATACCTCGCACATTATATGAAACCTTCTCCGTGCAAAATTTCAGAACTCAGCTCTCGTCACTCTCTGAAGCTCACATGGCTAGGACTTAGGCCATAAGATCCTCGATTTCCTTAATCATCAGACCATCCTTTTTTAGCAAAATACAAAATATTGTTCACCCCAAGGGTTTGACACCTTCCGGGTTGAGAGTGCGACTTTCAAGGGTTCAAGCTTCCAACAAGAAAACCGGACGAAACTCTTACGTAATGATTTCTGTGTACAGATCAACTAGCTTCGTGCTAGCAAGTAGGTTACACATGCGGCCACTTAGATGCTGAACGGGCATCTTGTTAGTCCCCATCAAGGAGGAACTTAATTAGTAGATATGCCACGTCCCTCAATATAACCTTTTTCTTGCCCATTCGACAGGGGAGGAAAGATGCAGTGAACTGGTTATGTAGTGTTCTCAGTCCCTAGTCAGGCTCGCTTACAACCCGCGTTTCACTCTAACCCTTGCCTCTCTTCCTTGTCCAACTCTATTAGCGAGAAGTTCAACCCAGACCACGATCACATCACTTATAGATGAGCATCACAACAGGCAGAGTTTTCAATGCCAACCATACCCTTAGCTAGAGTTGGTATGTGTCCTATCTACCCAGTTGGTTATACACACTCATTTCATCTTATTTACGTTCATTTGGGCGAGAGACACCATCCCCGATCTCAATCAATCCTTGGTTTACACAGGGAAACTAATGAGGGCAATCACCTTGTTAGTTCGGCAGGAACATGGTACTTTGAGTGCGAACACAAATACAAAGCGAGTAGCCGAGTGAAGATTTCCCTCTCCTTAAAATTTTTCCCTTAGCTTAATTTGATAGCAATTATTTACATAAACTGTTGGTTTGATTACGCAATCCTGGTTAGCATTAAAAGGGCATTTTCCCAGGGTAAGCTCATCATTTCGGTCTTACCTGATCATGAGAACAAATCGCCAAACCGAATGGTGAAGTATATATATAGAGTCAGACTTAATATGAGAATCAACTTTAACGAGTAGCATCATGAGACCCAGACTCACGCTGGCCCTGATACCAAAAATATCACAGGCAGTCAATCTTCCCTCCACTCAAGTTTCCCATTAGTATGGCGGGTTAAGCCATGATTAGCCGTGTTGGCTCACTCTCTCGGTTTTCCCCTTAATTCATAAAATGACTGACTTCATACCTCTCCTGACCAGCTGAGATTTCGTAGGGCTCATCAGACTTGCTCAGCAGACAGTCCTAGGACTATTGAAAGTGAGCAGAAATAAGACTGTACCTCACGCACTCCCACTAGCGATCGTACATCTCCTGGCACGAGAGAACTGCCTGCCAGCTAATGACCTTTCCATAACCTCTAACAAAAGGGGCGTGCACTATGCCCTCACCCGTTAACAGAGTCTGAATAGTCTGGGCGCATGCTGAGAAACAGGTGACCTTTCGAACACGGGCAGAAGGTCGGACCAGCACTGACTGGCATTGCCTCTCTTACTTTCGAACCTAACAACACAATACACTCATGTGCTCATAACATCTCTTGAAGTAGAAGCCAAAAGTAACGACCTCGCACAGAAGCGATGAGCGGCCTGAAAGGCACGAATTAGGTTGCCCTGCAAGAATCGACCGACGTCAGCAGTGAAGTGATATGAGCCAGAAGGCCGAAGTCATCAAATTTCTCTCGACGCGGATCAAACGATTCCCATTCACTGAGGAGTACCCCCTTCTCCCTTTTCGCCCCTTGCTTCGTTCCAGTACCCGTCCAATAGTAGCGCAAGAATGTGATGACCACCAGTCATGTATGACTCAGCGCAGTGTCGTTACCTAAAGCAGGCGTGAAACTTCAACAGTATATCGCACGTGGGGACGTGGGGACTGCGGTGAACATCAACTGATTTTTAAAGGCTCTTGTTTTACACTCTTCTCCGTGAGCCTCTCCTTTCATTGGCCCGACTCCGGATACAATAGCCGAACTTCTAGAAGCGTAGGGCTCATACAGGCCACAGGATTGACCGCGCACGAGCCGCGAAAGAGACGCAGGGTTTTCTAGCCTGACTAGCTATCCAAGCGTCTCTGATCAGTCTTCTCCCTTGTTTAACTAACCGCGTGTCGGAGTCGAGTTGAGGTCAGCATCCCAGGCACATGCACCGCACCCCCTTGTCCCATCTCTTTGACCTCTCTTTTACTGTCACCCGACCGTCCACATGTAACCTGCGTACAAGCGCAGTGCCTCATGCATGTGCTAGTACCGACCACAACCAAGGGAGCGAGAGTCGGAGCCGTCCGCAACATCAGTGTTGATGTCCACTTCGCCCAGCCTGCATGAGTTGCCCAGTACTTGTCGGCGGGCGAGTGTCTCCCAAGAAATAGTTGATGTCACTGCCCCGCAAGCTCGCCCTCTTTGCTCTCTCGGTCTCTCCCCCCTTGTTGACTTTCACCCTCTTTCTCTCTGAACTGCCCCGTGTAGCTTGCGCGTCTGTCGACTACTCACTCCCCCTTTCTTGTCTCCCGTCCTCTGGGACCGTACTGCCGCCCGCTGGTCTCGGCCCCGCTACTCCCAGGTCGTGCCAACGGATGGTTCTTGCGGACTTGCCCTGGCCTGTTCCAGGAGTGGAGGTCCGAATCTCGATCCCCCACCTCGCTCATCTCGCTCTCCCCACCCGAGTCTCTGTCCAGGTGGGCCTGTTCCCTGTCCACCGTGTCAGTCGAAGTTTCTGTCTCATGATAGGTCACCGTTATCCGTAGCCTTGCCGTCACTCCGGCCCGTCTGCAGCGCCTCTCCGCTCGGTCTCTCGCCTCCGTAATCGCATCCTGCAACTTCGGGTTAGTCCGCATCTCTCCCTCTCTTGCTCCCTCCACTTTGATCTTCAGGAGCACCTCATATCCACCGTCGTAGTTGAGTATAACAGTGATCCAGGGCCCTTCCCCAGACATAGGCTTCCAACGGGCCTGGTGGTACCAATACCCAGGCCTATAGTCGTGCAGCGCCATAGCCGTCCTTCTCAACAGCCAGTGCCCGTGCTCAGTCCGCACTATCCCCGTTCGCAGAAATACTTAGCCAGGCTAAATCCCGAGTGTCGGGAATCAAGGCTCCAGTGCATTACCACTGCCCACACTCGAGGAGCGATAACGCTCACCTCACGCATCCCCTTTTTTTCAAGAMCCGGGAGCAACCTCTRTTTTATAGGGCTCTGGGGGAGTGCGACCCCGGTSTGCTAAAAGRGGKTTTTSTGATAATAACTCGGATTTCYTTAGATARGAYTGGAAGGAACTCCAACAGCYTGTGCACAGTCAGGGCACTCAAACCACCGTCACGTCGGTCCCTAGGCTGTGCAACATGACCGTGGTCCGAAGAGACGGAAAGAAAAACGGAGATCCCATAATGGGATACCAACAACCACATTTTCTCTTTAAAAGCAGACCTTCGGTCTACCACTACTGGGTGCCCGTGTCCGATGGCAAGGAGGGGGTTCATGACCTCCTTTAGGGGGTGATGAACCTCCTACCGATGCGGCCGCGGGTCGCCCCTCTTTTGGGGCCTAACCGCACGGCGCCAAATCGGAGCTCACCCGCAGACAGTGTATGCTAGGTCGGCCTACTTAGGCCGTGGACCGCTGGCTTGTAATTCGAACTGTTGGCCTCCCTCGAAAGGACAGGCCAACAGGTAAAAATTCGAGAATAAAAAATCTAAGCAATAATAACAAAAATAGTAATAAAAATAAAAATAAAAAAAAATCGCAGGAAAAGGAAAGGGAAATAAAGTGCGGCGTCCCAGGATCTCTCTGCGCAGCAGCCTTGCCTGAACAACGACCCTCGTTCACGCACAAGTCAAAAAACCCGATTTTCGACCTTTTCCCTTCCTTTTCTTTCTTTTCTTATTTTTCTCCTTTTAGTTCTCACAATCTCTACCCCTTAACCTGGCCAGTGGGGTCCGCGCGGTTCGGATAAACAGGTCTGGTACAGGCAATATACGAGGGGTCGGTAAGACCCAGACCATGAGACCACAGTTGCAGTCTGAAACCTGAATCGGTGGCCTTCCCTATGAAGTGACAGAACGAGAGTCGAGAAACTGAAAATAAAAAAATTACGTAAATAACAATAATAATAATAATAGCAAACCAAAAAAAAAAATAAAAAAAAATCGTAGCATCACAGTGGCCTGAGGCCACTGGATTTTCCCCGTGCAAAAAAAAAAAAAACGAGCTTAAGTCTGGCATTTTATTTTTCCTTTTGTCTTTTCTCTCTTGACATCGGTTTTTGTCCCGTGCACCTATCCCATAACTCAGTACAGGAGTGCCTGGTGTGCAGTTGAAAAAAACTGAGCCAGTCCTCTCACCCCTGCGTCCCATGGCGAACCTGGCGGCTACCACGGCCACAGGCCGGTAGCGCTCTGCTGGGCACCGAGCCTGCGTGGACCAATGGAAGCCCTGTGGCGCACCCGCTTTTTGCTGAGGGCCACGCCATCGGGGCAGGTCTGCTCCGAGAACAGTCCCGGTACCGGACCCACCTACAGCGCGAACCGTGCCTGGAGAACAGCAAGTCGAGACATGGGACTGGTATTGAGCAAGGATCCGGTACACAGGAGGGTACTGAGCAAGGATCCGGTACACAGAGGAGGGTCGGGACACCGCGCCCTCCGACATAATACCAAACCCCCACCCAGCGTCCCCGCTGGGTCAAGACGAGTTGCTCAACAAGTATAAAGTAACTGCATCCTTTAACATTTTCATTCATTCTTGCTGTGACCTATGTCAGGACTCGTGCATTAGGGCTTGTTCCTCTTTCTTTCATTCATCGCCTAACAGTCGTTTGCTCATTTTTTCTTCTAGCGCTCGCTCTCTTTCTCTCAGCACTCGTCTCTTTGCGCCTGCCATATTTCTTTCGCGTAGCCCTCGTACTAAGCATAGCTATTTTCTTCTTTTCTCCACCATTATTTTTCTCTCATATAGAGCTCTCTTGATTACAGTTATTAATATCACCTCACTTGTTCCTTATCTTTCCTTCCTGCTGCTACCCCAACTTACACCATGTCTGAGGCTCGTAAGGGACACGGTAGAGGAAAAGGAGGGAGAGGGGGTAAAGCTAGGGAGGAGCCGCCGCCTCGTGCACGGCGTGATTATAGTTATGAGGAGGAGGAAGATGAACCACGAGGCTATGGTAATCCAAAATCATACTCTCGCTACCCATTAGCAGGGTGGTATGAAAGGACTCCATCCCCTGATAGGATGGAGTTCCTTCGTAAGAGATTTGATGCACGGTATGGTACACACAGTGCTTCCTCCCCGCCCTATATTCCCAGAGCCCCTTCCACTCCTGCAGTAAGCAAGGTCATAGTGCCGGCCCCGCCCCCCTCTGTCCCATGTGTTGTCTCGTCTCCCCATCATCCCAGCCCTTGCGTTCTCTTCAGTATCTTCTTTCTTTTGTTTCTTTTCCAGATCGAACTCATGGCCATCTTCTATGTCTTGTACAAACAGGATTTATTCTCAGCTTTCTGAGTTTGATTTTGACTCTAAAATTTCATGTTCCCAATCCATCCCATAGTGTCCCAGGCCAGAGAGTTTAGCTTCCTTAAGGCCGGGGATGCAAGTTCCTCGTGAACCAGGCCGCTTGTCGGCCACCGAATAAATTTAAGAAGGATTACGCCTCCATTTTCTTGTTTGTTGCTGACTCTGACCTCTTGTCATCCTGGGGTCTGTTCCCAACTTGAATTGTACAGCAGAGAAAAGTTACCTTGACTTTCACCTCAACTGAAAATTCAAAACATCATCAGTCTGATATCAATACTTGAGTCACTTGTTCAGTCTGCCATGCTGAAGATAGGGCATACCAAACCCTCTTTCATGTTTTCTGGCCTGGGTCAACAGAAAAATTGTGGCAAATTTTGAGGCAGGATGAACACATGTGGACACCATATTTCAACCGTTGGAACTGTGTTTATAAACTGTTTGGCGGGGGGGGGGGTCATGTGTTCTACCAAAAGTCAAGGAAACCAACGCTGACCAAATATTGAAAAAAATGAAACTGGTGTGTTCATCTGTTGGTCCAACTGTTGAAAGGATGTTGGTCCAACTGTTGAACAATCGTAGAAAACTTGTTGAAAAGTTATTGAAGAGTTGTTGACACCTTGTTGAAACGTGTTGAAAACTTGTTGAACTGTGTTGAAAGCTTGTTAAAACGTGTTGAAAACGTGTTCACCTTTCGTACAAACCGCGTTCTGTATTGGGGGAAAAATCATTTTTTTTGGCTCATGTCGTGGGTTTTCGCGGTTTGTTCCCGTCTTTTTCTCCTGCTGGACGATACGCTATGCACTTTCGCAAATGTCAAGCGTTGGGTCTTCTGGCGGACCTGGCATGCAACGACATCAATGACTGCATATAGAGAGAGATTGCCACAGAGAGAGAGAGAGAGAGAGAGAGAGAGAGAGAGAGAGAGAGAGAGAGAGAGAGAGAGAGAGAGAGAGAGAGAGAGAGAGAGAGAG